ATATAAGAAATACTATACTCAACAAACCTCAAGTGGTAAATAAGTATGTTTATGTTCTTGTCCAACTTGAAGACATGGAAGATATGGATGACGTAATTTCATTTTATATTTGTCTAAGAAATATTTTGCAACTGTGCACTCAACTGTTTGTCCATTTTCTAATTGTAATGGGAATCTAAAATTTTCAATGAATATATGAATATGAACTTAAATGAACATTGTAATTGCTTTTTACATACACTTACGATTGCATTTGGGCAGGTTTACGTGTAACATTACACACTCTGTATTTTCGTCTCATAGTTCCACAGTGAGTAATTTCAATCTTAAGTCCTTTAATTTCTTTGGTAAATTTAACTCGTTGAGAATCTGTCAAAGGTCTCTTTTGGTCACCTATATCACGAATGTCTAATACTTCACACATAAATTCTATGACAGGTTGTGCCTTGTAAAATGCAGTTGCAGATACTATAACATAAATCACAAATACATGAGAAATCAACATAACTTTTACTTTATATCTTAATATATTCTATATTTACCATCAATATTTAGCATCATTTTCCATTGCGATGGCCTAACTGACTGATGAAAACCAAACCAAACTTCTCTGCCACCACCTAATGGATGATAGTATCCATCTGGTGTACTAAAGAATGATCTACCTACTGGAGTATATGTCATAGATGGTAAATGCCTCATTACAACATCTAAAGCAATTATAGCATCATATGGAATTTGTCTTGTACGTCCTTCTAAAGCTTCTTCCAAAGCAAACAATGAAACTTGTGCCACCCACTTAATTACCACTCTAAAAACTCTGTCTTTACCCTCACCAGGCAGTGTTACCTACAAAGATACATTATGAGAAAGTAAATCCAAACGAAATTATAAAATTTTTGTTACTTATTATACTTACCTCTAATTCTATTTTGTCAGCACCAACAGGCAAGGGGTCCCTTGTATACAAATTACTTCTGCCATCAAATACAGGCTTAAGAGTTCCAAATATTTTACCATATGCATGAACCATTGTTTCTATTATTTCCCTATTAACTTTACGAGGACATTTATCAGGTTGAATATTAATATCATAATGATGCACAAAACCACGTGGCATTGCAATTTGGAAGTGATTAGCTCTTAAAACAATTTGCCTGCCTTCACGTCCTATATTTGGTCTCCGTGGACATGAAAACACTGCAGAAATATATTCTTTTTTACTTTTTATTTTTATATATAAATA